TATATATATATATATATATATATATATAAATATAGGGGTGGGTGGGTCATCTCCTTGTCAAATACCTCACCACAATCTGAATCTGATGAGAAGCCCTTTTTCATCCATGGTATTATTATTTCATCGACACATTACTTTTTCACTTTTATAACTTTATAATATATTTATTTTTCAAATAAATTCAAGAAAATGTCCATCTCTGAAACCTCATCTTCATCACCCGATCATCATCAACAAATACTCGCTTCACTCTCTCCGACAAGAAAAATTCAATTCGTGTCGAAATCCGTGTCGGAGAGGCTCCTGTCGAAATTCTACGATGTGTCGGAGTTCGACTTCGATTACACGCAGAGCGGGATTTGGTCACCACCGATTCAACGAAGCGCGTTTCTAAACTCGCCCGGAGAGATTTCGGATAAACACGCCATGGCCGAGAAGCTCAGAACCGCTCTTGCAAGACATACATGAAGAAAACGCCGTCGCCTTTCATTTAATGTACGTGCATATATATAAATAATATATGTATATATACTTTTCTCAATTTATAGTAATATAAAATAGTTAACCTATATGTAGGGGTATATATATATATATATATATGGTATATATATATATATGTATATATATATGTATATATATATATATATATATATATATATATATATATATATATACACACACAAATAATAATATATGGATTCAAATAAATTTGTAAGTAATTGATGATTACCTTCTCTTGGAATCTTTCGACATTAGTATGATCAATCACCTTCTTCTCTATGTTTTTGTGTGTGTTGTGTGTGTGAGAGAGAGAGAGAGAGAGAGAGAGAGGATTGGGTAGTGAGTTTTAATATAGTCGTCCGATCGAAGAGAGAGAGAGAGATGTATTAGAATATGGAATAAATAATAGAGGACGTGCAAGCAAATGTTGAATAAAATACAAAGTTTATTGTATTTTATGACAATGTGAAAGGGACCTTAATCTTGATTAGTGTGCTGTTATTACTAACTACTATTTCAATGATGTGATTTATATTGAAAGAGCATCTCTCTTCTGTTGTACTGATCAGATTATTATTTATTTCATTATCTTAATTATTAGTATATCTTATGATAATTATTAAAGCTCCACTTATTTAATATTGTTCATACTAATTAGATGCATTTTCTTACTTAGATGCATACGAAATATATATTGATGCTTTTCTTAGTTATGTATTATGTATTATGTATTCACGTCATAAAATTGTAGTTGGGTAAATTACAACCACCTCCTTGAAGTAAAGTGTAATTATGAAACCCCCCTTTTGTTTTGAAAAGTTACATTTAGCCCCCTGTAGTTTGTAATTTTTTTTACATTCACACCCTTTTGCAGGGTGTTAATGTAAGAAATCTGCAAATTGCAAGGGATGGATGTAATTATAGAAAAAATGAGGGTTTTGTTTTGTAAATAGACTTAAATAATAAGTAGATTAACTATTTCAGGCCCTCTATCTCAAACTTACTTTAATGGCCCAAGCCCATTTGAAGCTACTTTCTAATTTCTTCCATATAAATATTGAAAAAATAAATTATAATTCAATGTACAAATATACAATATGCAATTAATAACACGGATCTTATATCATATATTATCTATAAGATCCGTGTTTAATAACGTATCGGTTAAATCGGTCTATGAGATACTATATCTAATGTAACACATGTCGGATGTAATTTAAAGTTTAAACCATAGATCTATATAACTAACTGTACACAAAATATACATACACAGTGAAGTGTGTTACTATGTGCAGATCAATGGCTCAAGTTCATTCTGTGTAGTATCTATAAAATGGGTTAAATGGCTCTTCTTTCCGAGTAGTGATCCGATAAAAAAGGACGCAAAATGGCCATTGATTATTAATTACTTTATTAACTTAAATGCGACTTTCGTGAATGAAGAAAAAACGTGCTTTTAGTATTCCTTTTTATTTTCTTCTCCTCTGACTTTCACGCTTTTATATGGAATATTATATATTACAATAAAATAACAGAATTTATTAATGTTACTTGTTAGGTAGTTATAATGAATGTAGCAGGATAATGGTTTTGTATTATGGTATGGTCCAAACAAATTTCTATTGGCTAGTGTAAATTTCTTGGGAACATATTCACATATATTTATATTAAATTACCACAACTTATGATATTTTATTGTAATAAAATAGTATGGGGTAATTTTTTTTTATTTTTTTTTAATTCCATATAATGAATAGATACTATTTGCAATAAATTCATTCTTTTAGGGTGCATTTGAATGGAAACATTTGAGTGAGGGACTTCAAATTCATAATAACAAATCTGTTAAAGTTGTTTGGATTGAGTGGGAAATTTCAAATTCTTAGCTCTCGTTATAGATGTTTTTTAGGCGTATTTTGTGGATTTCAAATCTCTTTTGAATTGGAGTAATTTCAAATCATTGTATTTGGATTCATTCTAATTTCATTTATTTCAAATCCTTCAATCCAAACGCAGCACTCTAAGAAGTCCAGTTGGTTTTTAACTAAAATAACTAACAAGAAACACAAATAGTAAGTTGACCACAAACATGCTTTTGCCTTGTCTTTTTCATTCATTGTTTTTGCTTAGAGTCACTCTCTCAAGTTTTTCAACTTCAAAATGAAAGTGACCTAATTTTACAACCTTCCACGAAAACACGACGACGTCGTTTTAAGGTTATACACTACCTAGTCGAGCCCTATCTTCTGAGTTTGAGTTTGCACAACGCGGAGAATAGCTTGGTTCAAGATTGCAGCATCAATATTGTCTTCAACAATGGCTTCCATCCCAAAAAAGTGTTGCGAGGAAACCCTAACTTGCACAACATTCACATTCATTTTCTCAAAGACCTCCATTATCGGCCCCACCATTTCTTCATCGCCTAATTTCTTGCACGTCACCGTCACCGCCAGATATCCCGTCGTCCCAATCTTCTCCACTTTCACTTCCTGTCACCATTACATAAACCAAAAAACACAAAATTTCATAAAAAATTCTATCTTTTTTACAAACAGTGGGGGGCCATGACCCCCTGTTAATTAATTGCTCTGTGCTGGCTCCGCCACTAATATGAAATAACGCGGAATCGAGAGAGAATATTTACTTGGATATGGTTAATGAGGCTTTGGTACTCTCTCTTGATTGCTTCAACTTGGAGTTTCAATCTATAGATGTAAAGAAAAGCATCCATGATAATGGAGCTTCTTGTCACCTTCACAAAACAAATGCATGTGTAATTAGAAAGTTTCTCTATATAGTAATCTAGAGAGAGAACGAACAAGAAACTATAAGCATGCATGCATGGCGTATCATTACTGGTTTTGATTTGGTAAAGGTTT